TGGAACAAATGCTTCTGAATTCATTTGAATTTAGACCTTTTGTCCACACAAAATAAGTATGCTTTTTATATGCCCTGCAATGAGTGTAGCATGGCAAGAAAATAGAATCGTCAAAGCTATAATTTATATGAAGTGAAAATATAATAATTATTTTTTCCCTCCCACATTGCATTGGTCTCATGTCCATACTTTTTGTTGCACGGTTATTTGGTGACTGGGTTGAAACCAATACCTTTCTCCACTTGAGAACCCAGTTTACTCAAAGGTGAAACCTGGTTTCAAACCTCGGCTATCAGTAGCTCTAACTCTGTGTTCTCACGCGATATTCGCCCCCCGAGCAATGTTAACAAGCAACATCGTTGCTATTTATTTATTTTATTACTAGATGTCTTTGGGCAAGAGTGACAGGCCAGGCTCGGCTGTACAGTGTTGCTTTTAAAAATAGACAGGCTGCAAGTGCAGCAAGGAAGGAGGAGCACATTCAGATGTACGGCGACATAACTCCAGCCTGTGCGCCGGAAAAGCGATGCTTTCAGGAGATCACTTTCCTCATTACATTGCCATCGCGGCAGCTTGGAGGTAAAAATAAACAGTGTCTTGCAGCAGGCAGAATACGTTCCCTGCTGCAAATGCAGCCCATGTGTCCCCAGGTATTCCAATGTCTTCAGTCGGCGAGGGAGTAAGCGCGTGCGCGCTGCGCGTGCGTGTGTGGTGTTCTGCTCGCGGGGAGGGGAGTGGTGGGGTGGGCGTGGGTGGGAATGAGCGAGCTGAGCGAGGAGGGAGTGGTGGCGCGAGGCAGTCGTGCGTTCCTTCCTGTGCGCATTCGTTCCCGTGAGCGCTGCCAACGCGCAACCGGCTAAGCCGGCAAGCAAGCTCGTAATCAACCGTCCGGCTCCTCTTTCTTCCACCGCCACAGTTATCGTCATCTTTAGCCTCGTCTCTGCCTTTCGTCGTCCGTTCGCCTGTGTGGTTTGTGCCGCGGGCCCGCTCGGCTGAGCCGTCGGGCCCCGCTGGCAGGGTTCACCGCGGCGGCCGTACCCTGCCAGACTGGTCCGGGCACCACCGTCGACGTTATTTGGGAACCCGGCGTGCGGGATGGACGGTAAGGCTCGCGTCACCTACGTTGGCTGACCCTGCTCCTTCTTCCCCCCCCAACCCTCTCTTCACGGCCTATTATTAGTCCCTTTCATTCGCGGCTCATTCATTAAAAGCGGCCTATTTATAGCGCGCGGTAGGGGTGTACGTGACGAGGGCTCGCTCCTCGCCGTAAGAGACGTTGCGTTTTCGTGTTTTTGCACCGCGCGGTTGGGTGCCACAAATGGCACGTTCGCATGGAGCTGCCTCTCTGTTGCACCGGCGGTTTTGCTATTTGGGCTTCCTTGGCTGAAAATTTGCAGAAGCAATTGCCCATTTCTATCGTTGCTCCCGTGAGCAAAATGAGCTGCGCCTGGCTTCTGCCACGTCCGCCCTGAGAAATGAAATGTCATGAGCAGTCACCTGTGACAGCACCCTCACGCCCAAGGCAGGCTTGCAGTATGTATGGCTCAACTAGAAAAACAGGCTATCACGAGGGGCATGGAAAATCACACTTTTGGTTACCTGTTGCGAGATACACCTGTGGGTGGCTCCTGTGAGACCTCCGTTTGGCTCGTCTGGTGAGTCAATAATTCAGGTGTCAAGTGACTAGCTTAATAAATTCCTGTCTATCACCAAACAGAGCTGGTTGAGAAAATTATTTTTAACAGTCAAAGCCATTTGATGTGTATGTTGTTGATTCATTATCTCTGTTCAATATACATGTACAGTATTCTGTCAGTTCACTGATGGATGCTGCTGCTAATTTTACCAGGTTTCGGGAGAGTCGTCTGATAAATTGTTATTTTTAAAGGAATTTTTACATGCGAGGGAAAACTGGATTACTTTGATAAAAACCCAGATGTACGTGGTCATTATTCTCAAATGTCTTGAGACAGGTTTAGGACCCGATTGCTACACTATCATTGTGTGCTCACCTCCTAGCCTCACAGTGTTTGGGAGTGTAACAATTGCACGTGAACCACCAACCGTTGCCTCCAAAGCGATGTATCAAAGGGGTGCACACCACCTTGTCTGACATAAAGCGACAGCCAGTTTGTGCCTGGTGTCTCCTTTACATGAAACACCTAGGGGTTGAAACAGTGAACACACATGCATGGCGTTGCACAAGCTTACTCCCCCACTGACCAAACATCGGACTGCCTGCACACACAATTGCATGGTATTACCAAATGTTAAATAAAGGTTTAAGGGTCCTAATATTGTTGACACTAGCCTATTGATTACACCTAGCACACGAGATCATTCGTACATGTAGAGGATTCTCGCGCTGTGCCGTTTCCGTTGCTCGATCACTTGCCAGTGTTTAATTTATTTTGCTACTAATTTGCTATTCGAGTTGTAGAGTCGTGCACGGTGATGTCATCGTGACGTCAGGATGCATGGCGTTAGTCATGATGTCACCGCAAGCTGTTTGATGCCACCGATCCGCACACATGCGCGATGGAACTATGGATCACTTGTTAGAGAGCGAGAACAGTGAGTGGACAACACCTTACGCACGGAAATCCAAGCTTATTTTACGAATGCCAGTTATAGCCTGTATGTGAATAGCTGCAAGGTGATGATCCTTTTTGTGAATAGGTTTAGGTTATATGTGACATTGCAACACACATTTGCATGTATGTATGTATGTATGCAGGCACATTACCTGTAGCTGGTATATAAGGTTAACACAACGCAATGTTAACTTTTAAAATTTGTCACACCATTGTTTTACATGTAAGTTGCATTAACAATGAAACACAACTCGCTTGGTGTTGGTTATTCAGTAGTTTTACATTAAAAAAACATTAACCTACGCATAGTCAAACATGTAAATACTGCAGTGGTGCAAATATATAAGGCTTGCTTGTAATTTCAACAAATAATGTTAGTAGTATCTGTATTATAGTGGCTATATTATTTGTTCCGTTAAACGGTGGAGAAAAAATATGCATGAGAATAAATATTCAACAAAGCCAGTAGACTACTCGAATTAATTCTGCATAAATAGCTTTTAAATGTTTTCTGAGTGTAAATCTCTTAATACGCCTCACAAAGAGGGGGGCAGGCTTAGTGTGAAGAAGGAAGTGTTTTTCCTCTCTCTATTGATACATGTGCCGTATTTACATTAAGTGACGGTAGTGCAATTCAATGCAAAAAGATTGAAAGTGTCGGGAAAGGAAAGTGTACCCATTTGTCCGAGAAAGGGCTTCAATGTCAATATTTTCTATTGGCAACAGACTTTGGAACAATTGCCTTCGGGGAAAAATTGATTTCAAAGTCATTCTGGCCAAAATATCGATGTGTGCGTGCGATAGAACTTGTGCACTCTGGGTGAGGGGGTGTCGTGAAAAAGGGAATTTACGGATAAGAGGAAATGCACTTTAGGTTGTACGAGGCGTTGTTTATAATGAATGTTCACAAGGAACGTTCGCAACATAGTGCAAAAAACAAACGATCATAACATTGGGTTTTAGTCCAGCTCTGAAGCAGTTTTCAATATCTGTTGATTTATAAAGTGTGAGAGAGCACCATCTTGCGTAGAGTAAGAGAGATGCCTGTTATAAGTAACAACAGAAATTGTTCCATGTTGGTGTCGTCGGGAGTATTCCCTAACCATGTGATACTCTGCTGAATAAGAGAGTTCCAAGAAATGTTTATTTGCTTCATGATTTTACTGACAGTGCAAGTGGAATATATCTGATGATATAATTTTTTAAACTTGTTTCCTAAACAAGAAAGCTCTTTTTTATATAGGGAGAGTCTCATGGAATAGGTATGTTAAGTTGAGAGGATAATACAGGCACTCCTTGACATACGCGATAGATGCATTCCTGGAAAAGCGCACGTATCTCAAAATGGCATGTGTCAAAAGCTATTTTCCCATAAATAATGGTAAAGGAATGGGTTAGGGGATTTCACTCACAGACATATAATCGCCTTTATTATCCTATCCTATATCAATGCAATACATATACACACAATATAATACTTTAAATTAAAAGGAAAATAATGTAAACTCTAATATAGTTCCTACAAAAATAAAAATGTAAATAAAGAAATACATTCTTACTTGTAACTTCGCCGGAGTTGTGTTGTTGAGCGGATGGATGTAGACGAGTAGACGTTACAGCGTACGATCACAACGAGAGACTGTGAGACGAAGGGGGGAAGAGTGCTGGTGTACACGCAGCAAGATGCTGTACGCACACTATAGTACACTAGTTACCGTACCGGCACTGGCTGCTGGCTCTGCCATTGGGTCGCGGTGCCAGGCTAGGGTGCCACATGTCGCGTTGCGGATGGCATTCCGAAAATGTCCTCACGTATGTCAATAAAATGTCTAAATACAAAGCGGGCGTTGTTCCAAAATGGCATATCACAAAGCGCATAAACGGAGGATTGCCTGTATACTTATGATGCGATGAAGCATCCATGCTGCTGGCTTATCTGAAAAATATAATCTAGACAGTTCTCCTTGGCTGTCCCATTGGTCACTCGTACCCTTTTTCTACTGGCACATCTGAGCCGTGCCAGTGGAGACTCGCCATATTGGTGGTTTTCCACTGGCTATTTGCAAAGCTGAGCCAGAAGCAAACTGAAACTCTGATCTCATTAGACTGATGTCCTTTGAATCTGGCTTTGGACCAAGCAGGGCCAGGAGCGAGCTTTGTCATTCATCACCCTTGGAAGTGGGACATTGATGTCACACGCTCAATGCATGTTATGTCAGTAGAATGCCTTGGATGCTGCAATGGAAAAACAACCTGGATCCTTCTGAGCCACGCCAGGCTGGTTTGGTAAAGGCCCGGCATGGCTCGGTTGTACAATGGAAAAGAGAGTTCTTATGTCTGTGCAATATAAGGATGTACATTGGATGATTCAGCATGCTCATCTTTTTTTCACATTTCTTGTTGCAGTGAAAGAGTTCCTGGCGAAGGCGAAGGAAGATTTTATGCGAAAATGGGAAAACCCACAGCAGGTGAGAGCAAGGCAATCCACACAGCTTTACACACACAACAGCAATCAATGTTTGTGAGCCGCAATGCAAGATGGGTTCCTGATGCTGTTTGCCAACATTAGCACGTTTGGCTATGTATGGTGCGAAATAAGTTCAACACTCATACAGACAACATCGGCACTGGGGACACTCAGGGCAGTGGGCATAGATGGTACTGGCCCCCCACCACATTATCTATGCTGGGCTTAATGGGCACTCACTAACAGCACTCCACCACAGTCTATTTAGGGATGTCAGCCTCCAACGAATGTTTGTGCATCTAAGATGTAAATTGCTATACTTCCAAATATAATTAAGAATACGTTGAATTGTTATTACACCTTAACAGTTGTGAGTTTTTATAGCTTTGCTCTGTGTGAGGTCACTCATTCTCATATGTTGCTCCATATCCTAGAACTCCTTTCCAGCAACTATAAATGCTGTTCTCTACCTGCCGCTATTCAAGTCCATGCTCAAGACCTTTCTTTTTTGCTCGGCCTATAACTGACTGCCTCTGATTCATAATTTGTTCATTTTTGTTAGGTCGTGTAAATAGGTTTGTCGTAAACCCTCCTCCATCTTACACAGCCAGTTAATAAAAGTGTCACGTGAATCAAACGTGCCAAATTTATGACTTCTTCAGGTACACTAGTTTAGAGAATAATCTCACAACATGCAAATGGTTACGCATTTCGGGGGATATTATATCCGGCATCATCAAGTTAACAGGAGCTCAGATCTGAAGTGCCTCGCTATAAAATAATGAGTTGAGATGTGATCATATTTAAATGCTATATATACAGCCCCTTGTCAATCCACTGCTGAATGAAAGTCTCTCTACACTGTCAGTCATAGTGATTGTTTGGCCATACTTTACTAAATCCTGCCTCAGTAGCTCTCCCGCTATATTTTTTCACCTGATGACGTTGCTTGTGTTGCGATCGAAACGTCGTGATTTTTTATTATTTTTCTATCTACGTGGCTTTATCGAAAGACCCAAAGAATACATACTTTACGAGGCTGGTATGTGCGGGTTTGTGAAGGGGGTAGGAAACCCAGGACTCATTTAATTTAACTGAGATTGGGGCCATCCATTTAGTACGTACGCTTGGAGGGGGGAGAGGGGGGATAACCCAAATGCGTACGCTTGTGTATGAGGGGTCTACTGACAACGTACGCATGGGGGGGAGTGAAGTCTCGATAATAATGTGTCTACATTGACCTTCAAATGAGTTAGATAGTCCGACGGTGGACTATCTGTTTGCTTAAACACGTTAATATTATTCATCCTTGATCGTCTCTGCGTGGATTAAATATCGGCCGTTCTATTGGATTGGGGGGGGGGGGGGTGCGTCAAGCTTTCGTACGCAGGTGGTGGGAGGGGGTGTAAAAAGTACATGTGCATACAAGGAGGGGGGAAGGGGTCAAGTTTTGACAGATTTTTGTGCACGTACTAAATGGATGGCCCAAATTTGGGCACATAGTGCCTTATGTCACCACAAATTTGGTCACATTTAAGCCCTTTAATGAATCCAAATTTGGGCAGCAAGTTGGTTTGCCTCCAATGATTAGTCTGTGGGTTCATGTCCTTTCTGTGTGGAGATTTACATTCTCCCCCTGTTCTGGATGGGCTTCCTCTGGGTTTTCCAGTTTCCACCCATATCTAAAAAAAACATGCAATGCTACTGTTATCGACCAAACATCCCAATGCAAATGAATTGCCTGCAAATGTATCAATTGGTATTGCACATAGCAACATCACCGCAAAAGCTTGGCGGGACCTTTCGGGAAAAATAGGCTTAATGCTCAGTAAGGCTTCCCCTGGGTAAGCAAGGCTAATAAAAAAAACTGTTTTGTAATTTTTTGCATTGGAGTCTCATACATGTTGTGATTGTTTGACAGTTATTGTGTAGCCCATGAGTTTCCTTTATGTTTGCATATGTAGTGACTGTGCTTGTCAATAGTGCTGGGGCTTACCAAGCCACGGCGGGTAATGTGTTGTCATTATGGGCAGCCCGAGTTACGGGATGTAGTACTGGCCCTAGCGGGGCTTGGGTGAGTGCTGGTTGGCGCGGAGGCACCGCGAGCGCCACCGGTGGACGGGGACCGCATGGTGGTCACGTGGTCCAAAAGAGCTCTCGGGAGCCTTCGAGAAGGAGCTCGAGAGACCTGGAAGGTGGACGGGGCGAGGGGCGGGGCCAGCCCCAGCCCAGGGGCATCTAACGAGGGCTCCGTGAGGAGCTCGGGGTTCTTCGTGTGCTGGTGTGAAGAAGATCCACGTCGGGGAGAAGAAGCCTCTAGCCACGCGGTCCGGGACCTAGCTCGTGGTCCGGACCACCAGGATAGCGAACCGTGTGTAGTTCTGCCGTAGCATGGTGAGATGGCCATTCGAGACCCGAGTGTAGATTGTGTCGTGTTACGTACCGTTGTGTAAATAGTGTTGCTCCTAAGATAACGTCTGCGACTCAGTTGGACTCACTACACATAGGAAAACCACACTGGCCGAGATAAACTTTCGAGGATTTAAAATAGCGTGACGCAGTTCTCCAACCGTCTGAGCACATATCTGATAGATATTGTGCTCTGTTAAGCCCTCTGACCAAAGCATCAGTCTGCATCTGTATTAGGCAATTTATCCAACCATGCATATTGTGTCGAGTTGAGCCAAGCTTTAGCCTCTATTCCATCAGAAGGGCTTTTTAAACGAGGCTTTGCATCTTATTGGCGCATATTGCATATAAATGTGCTGGGAAAATGAGTGCATTTTATTCCTTTGCATCTATGCATGCAAATACAACGTACATGCTGTGATCTTGTGATTGTAATGGTGATGGTAGAGGCTTTTCTTCTTGAATGCTCAAGCTGAGGATGCAGCTGTTTCAAGAAGAAATGTAATTATTGTTAATTAAAGGTGTTGGTGTTAAAGTTTAAGGTTAATCTTAGATATCGTTTGTAAGGGATACCTGCGAGGTTGGTGGTTACTGTTAAAGTTGGGGGTTATTATTAGCGTTAGATGTTAAGGTTAGGGGTTAATGCTATAGTTATATTATTAGCGTTAGATGTTAAGGTTAGGGGTTAATGCTATAGTTATGTTATTCGCGTTAGATGTTAAGGTTAGGGGTTAATGCTATAGTTATATTATTCGCGTTAGATGTTAAGGTTAGGGGTTAATGCTATAGTTATATTATTCGCGTTAGATGTTAAGGTTAGGGGTTAATGCTATAGTTATATTATTCGCGTTAGATGTTAAGGTTAGGGGTTAATGCTATAGTTATATTAATCGTGTTAGATGTTAAGGTTAGGGGTTAATGCTATAGTTATGCTTTAATTGTTCGAGTCCGAGTTAACGGTTGGGTTGATGTTAGGGTTAATGTTTGCTTAAGGGGTTAGTGGTAGGATTTGGAGTTCATATAAACGTCATGTAATGTGTTATTGTTATAGTTGATATTAATAGTTGGATGTTAAGGTAAGGGATTAGTTTAAAGTTTTAGGCATTAGTTTTGGGGTTAGTAGTAGGTGTTAATGTTTGTGGTAAATATTTAGGTTGGCAATAAAGCTTAGAGTTAGTATTCTTTGGTTCTTTCAGTAAAGTCACGTAGATAGAAAAAATAATAATAAAAATGAAAACCATGACGTTTTGATCACAACACAAGCGGTCGTCATCAGGAAAAGGGGGGTTAGTCTCTAAAGGAAAACTGTTCATAAAGGTTTAAAATGGGCATAGCCCAAGTGGCAGCAGTATTGGCGGAGCAGCTAATGCTAATGTAAGTGATGGTCAACAACGGGAGCTGGCGGTGGGTTTCCACCAATTAAAGGGCTGCCAGGTAAAAATTAGCATGTTGATGTAAGATCGGAGAGCGGCCTCCACGGCGAGCGCGCTGAGGTGGCTATGTTAATGTGAGAGATTAGCATGTTAATGTGAGAGATTAGCATGTTAATGTGAGAGATTAGCATGTTAATGTGAGACATTAGCATGTTAATGTGAGACATTAGCATGTTAATGTGAGATCTCGGAGCCATCGCCACGTCGGCGCACGGAGGTGGCTGTGTTGGTGTGAGAAATTTAACCTGTTAATGTAAAATCGGAGTGCCGGAAATAACAACTAACATCGGAAGGTGGCAGGGTGGGAACATCACAATCAGTTATGACTTAAACTGGTTGATTACGTCCTTCCAATGATTGCTAAGTTTGTACCCATCCTCTCGGTTGAAATTGTGTTAGAGTTAGTGTTTCCGTTCAATGTTTGTGTCTGGGTTTAATATTTGGGTCAGAGATAGGTGCTAGCCTTAGATATTAGTCTTCAGTGTCAGTAGGTGTTAGGTTAATAGTTAATTTTTAGTTTTAAGGGTGAGTGTTATTGTTCAGGTTAGGTGATGGGGTAAGAGTAGCGTGTTAGGGTTGGCCAGAGATAAGGCATCAAGCTATGTGAGCACTGTGTGTTGTCTGTGTCCCATACAGAACACGTCGTGCCTGGAGGACTTTGAGCGAATAAAGACGCTTGGCACAGGCTCGTTCGGCCGCGTCATGCTCGTCAAGCACAAGTCCAGCGACCAGTTTTTCGCCATGAAGATCCTCGACAAACAGAAGGTTAGGAGGCCAGGCTGTAGCCAGCACTGTGCACCATACACCTCACACATTGCACACACGATGTACCACACACACCGCACATTGCACACGCCATACAAACACACACCATATTCAATACAAGGATAAAGATCCTCCATAATATACTGAACAGACTTGGGGGAAGTGCTGTTAGCGAGCACCAATGAAGGCCACTATTCACCACACACACCATACACCACACCTCACACTCCCCATACAATTATCATACACACTTTTACACCACACACATCGCACACAACCTACACACCATACAACAACAGCTTCCATTTGACACTAAGTGTGGTGACATCACTTGTGCCAGGCTAGGTGAAGTGTCAAAGGTTCACTGACAGAAGGTTAAGAGACAAACCCAGGTGATGTCGGTTGACTGGCTGAGATGACTGGCAAATGCACTGCCTTTGGGCTCCACTGTGCCAACTTGCTGTTTTTTAGCTCCCCGGTGCTCTGCTCATTCTTGCACGTGTCAGTCTGCCCTCTTATTGTTGGAGGGTGACTTCCTCAATCTGCCCAGTAGCATTCTTCAAGAGCCTCTTCCATAGAGGCCGATCTTGACAACCTTTATGCCAGTGTTCAGCAAGTAAACTCAGCTCCACATGCACCTGGACCACTTAAGTTCATCGTTTCTCTAGCCCTTGCTGCCATTGTTGACAATCCTTGTGTTGCCCTCTACCTTAAAAATTGGCTTTAAATAGAGAAGTGAGATTTATGGGTAATGGGCGGTGGAAGTATAAGATCGCAGGGCCAGGAACAAAGTTCCCACAACAGAACTCTGTATACTTTTCGATTTAAAGCTTTCGTGACTGCAGGGATTCATCTTCTTGGTTCTTTCGGTAAAGTCACGTAGAATGGAAATAATAAAATAATAAAAATAAACATTATAAAATACAATTCTCACGACGTTTCGGCCACAACGCAAGCAGCCGTCCTCAGGTGGAGAACAGGTCTGTCGAGAAGACAGTCTGAAATGAGACTGTAGGGGGCAAGTGCTGTTAGCGAGCACCTATGAAGGCCGGAACGGTACACGAGGGGGTGGGTGGCCAGTACCACGCCCGACCACCTTTGTCTCCCCAGTGGAGATGTTTACACATCGCACCAGGTACTCATTTGAGGCTGAGTCGACATAGGGGAGGCCCAGGACCGGTTCAGATAATTGCCACTGGTGTTGGCCGTTAGCGAGAATCGAGCCCCCGGGTTGCCAGGTTTATAACGCAGCACCCTAACCGCTACACTCTCGCTCCCCACCATATGACACCACACACATACACACCAAAAATGTGCACTATACACCACACACCACTTATTTACCACACAGCCCACACACCTAAATACATAGAAACATCATACATATGTAGTGGCATAGCGCTGGCTGCTGGTGAGAAAGGGCAACTGCGGTGTATGGCAGTACCCACGTCAACAGGCCACGATCGACACGAGAGGGGGTCATCTCTTGGAAAGGCCGGGGAACCCGCCAGTATGTTCCAGAGAGGGGGCATGGCCAGGGTGGAGAAAGGCCACGCTGAGAGTATCAGAAGGGCCCCTGTGGGGGACCTCGTGGCTGTTTCTGGAAGTGGGATCCCCGTCGTGCTGTTCAAGGTAGTCGTCGTCACCACCTCGTCGCCATCGTCGCTGCCGTCTTCACTCTATGTTGCGCTGATGATTGTTGTTGGCTATTTGCATTCAGCGCCGTCAGTGTTAGACAGTTAGTGTTTTGTATAGACTAGCAACAGTAATAGTGTGTGCCCACGTAGGGTGTGTATTATCCCGATGGTGCTCGTTCAATAAAAGAAGTGCATCCAAGTCTTACTGTCCTCGAGTTAAGTCACTACACATAGAAAGATACTCTACCTATCGGGCATAATTTTCACTTGACAGAAGGCAGTATCCATAAGATGTTGTTTTTCTCCCGAATATTGCCCCCTATTGAATTTTTTTTTTGGCCAAATGTCATCATCCAATAAGAATGTTGGTGAAAGTGGTCGACCTTTTGCCAAAGCTACAGCTGACCCAATATTGTCAGGTGAACGGGTGGGACAGCATGTTAGCCTCAAGGCCATAAAGAGAACAAAAGTGTGTGGTGATTAGAATTGGTAGATGCCTGTGATTTCCACAGTTTTTGGTGTCCATTCTAGGCCCCACGCACAGCTGATGAACTGTTCTGAGTTATGGATGTGGCAAAAAAAAGGTGACACACAAATTCTTATTTGGCCCTAGGAATAAATCTTCTCAATACCTTAGTACAGCCTGGAGCTGGCCAAATGGATGATGTAGGTTATTTTTGCGGGCTCACACCATCACACACACAAGCACCGTGCGATCCAGTGCGACAGCAAGGTGGCCCTAGCCACTGCTTTAGTGCTATTTGATAGGGAGTGACCATCCACACTTGCACACATGTTTATGTAACTCGCAAAGATCTAGTTTCTTACCGCAACACAGTTATAATTTAATTTATTGTACTGTAAACAGTAGAGCAAGTAGGCCACTGCACATATGAAATAGTGATCTGTTTGCTGTACTTGCCAACATCATTTTCGGAGTGCTGTCTGTTCCCTTATGATTTTCCCCGATGTACAACACTTGGTCAGACATCCAATTAATACTGGTAGGAACCTCCTGGTTACACCAGCCCACAGGGGATTATTGTGTCCGTCCGTCCGTCGTGCATCCAAAAATGGGAGGGGTGGGGCTGGGTGAAGAGGGGAGGGTGGGGCTGGGTGGGGAGGGTGGGGCTGGGTGGGGAGGGTGGGGCTGGGTGGGGCTGGGTGGGGGGTGGGAGAGGTGGGGCTGGGTGGGGAGGGGCTGGTCACCCCGTGGTGCCATTATAAAACTCAACGTTTAATCTACTCACGCCGGCTTGTGCCCACCCTCACAGTCGGCCATATTTGCGGAATACACCACACCGCCTTTGACCCTGGCCATTGACTGAGCAACCCAACGTTCCTACCAGCTCCCTCCACAGGAATGTGTTGGACTTTCAGGTGCAACAGCATTATTAACTTACTTCTATTGCTGTTGTTATAGCTGTTGCTATTGCTGTTATTGATGCAGCTAATACCCATATTTTTGTTCATAATAACCGCTATTTTTGTGTTTATATTGTTATTCGAATGGTTTTAGTGTTGTTACACGCATTCCACAAACACGTGTATGCATGGCGTGTGTGCCGTGTGCGGATGACTGCAGGTGGTCAAGTTAAAACAAGTGGAACACACGCTCAATGAGAAACGCATCCTGCAGGCCATCAGCTTCCCTTTCCTCGTGCGCCTCGAATACAGCTTCAAGGTGATCCCGGCTTCACCTTGCTCTCCGCCATCCCTCCTTGCTTCTCCCCGTTACTCCGTGTGCTTCCTATTACCTACAAAATCGTCTCTCCTGACCCTGTTTGTATGTAAATTTAACTTCTTTCCTGCCATATGTAGCCGACCGTGCTCATCCTTGATCGTAGCTTCCTGACCAACTGTCTCATCTTTGAGACATGCTCTTCAGAGCTACTCTTTTGGGATCGCCGTGGCAAGCGCTGCTCCTCCCGTCTCATCTTTAGTTTCCTCTCCACCACTCTTCACCCTTCCCCACTCGACTTTGCACCCACATCTCCCCACATCTCTCCTTACGCCTCGCTATTCATCTTCGTGCATCATCCTCTCCTTCCCCGTAATGCTTCACCTGTCTACATATCTCTTACCTGCTAAGATTATATGGTACGCGTTGGGTAAGCACGTTGCCCTAATTCTTGTGGACAGGCAGCGCTTTCAATGTAATGTTAGCCAGCTGCGATACTTGCCACAACTGATAGTTGTTCCGGCCGAATGTGGACAGGCACTCTTCGCTGTGTGCCACAGATTCTTTGGAATCCTCAGCTCCATAAATGTGAGCAATCCACACACCTTATATTAGCCTCAAACAACAAATTAACTGGTTGGTCGTTAGCTTAATAATTGCTATTGAAGTGTGTTTTATTTCAAACACCGAATATTGAACAAATTAGTTCCATCAAATCCCAGTTTGGGATCAACTCAACCTGTCATCACTCAGACCAAAGGAATGAGTACCACTTCCTGGCAGGTCAACAACAGGGGTTGTCCTGTGCATGTGACATTTTGATCACAGGATCTGTGCCATGAACAGAGATGAGCACTGCCCAAAGGCCCCTTTGAGGGGTGAGACACGTTGATTTTTTTGTTCTAAATTAATATTAATAGAGCCGAGCACACAGATGTGTGTTCCTGATACCACCATACTATGTGTTATGTATATCATTTACTCTGCACCTTCTAAATCATAAATGTCCACGAGACTTAACTAACGAAGCCTCCCCCTGCGAATTGATACATTTTCATGATTCAGGGCCCTGATTTAAATCAAGAATTTTTTATTTTTTGTCTTGTTGCTTTTTGCCTTTATTGTCCTGTTTGGTTTGTACTCTAATAATAGATTTGTTTTATAACGTATTTTTGAAAAATATTCACATAGCGCTGAACAATTACGGAGCAGTATTATGGTCACATTAGAGGTAGTCTAGCCCATACAGATAAGAGAGAGACAAGTACGACCAATAACAAGCATGGTACTGGCTGTACCATTCTGTCCTGTCTTGTTTGTTCTGTCTTGTTAATATTTGAGCCATTTTGTTTATTCTGACCATTAGTCATAAATAAAATATTTCCTTAACATGTTTGCATAATTTGGAAATAATCTCATCTTAACACGCACCATTCATTGTATGTGTCATGAGAAAATGATGACATTTTTATTGATGAATGCCTAACGCTGATGGTGGGAGGCTTTTTGCCTATGTTAATTAGGGGTCATTTTTATCACGTTGAAAACGGCACGAATTGTAGGGCACCAAAAATAGGTTGTAAAATTGCTGTAAAAGCCTCCATTACCCACATACTCCTCCTCGTGTCTGTTCCCATTAGCCATTTCTCCCTCCCTCCCTCCCTCCATCAGTGCCTTCTGTGCCCTCCAAGAATCTCTGCTGTCACGAGCAATTACTATCCCTTTATACTGTCCGAGAGTGCTCCAGGTTGGATCCCCTGACCCGAACGCAACCACATCTGCAGTACAGCCACTGACCAGGCAGTGAGACATTGACTGTCTTGCTGCATCCCATTAATCGTTGTTGACATGGCTTTCTGTCACTCTCATCATTCTACTGCTGTTCCCACGATCCTTGCTCTTCATGGCCACTGCTTGGAATTAGGCTCCGGTGCTTTGACATGGTCAAGCATAATAGTATCCCATCGCAAGCATGTTCGTCGACTTCTTTAATCAATGAATATTTAAAGCATTACATGTGAACCATAGTGGCTCGTGTGGGAGACGGAAGAGGGACGTAGTGATGCCCGATGTGTTCCACAGGACAATTCCAACCTCTACATGGTGCTGGAGTACGTGCCCGGTGGAGAGATGTTCTCACATCTGCGCAGGATCGGCCGCTTCAGGTCTTGACAGACAGGCGCACGGATGAACGAGCACACAGGCACATGGATGTACCGATGGAGACACATGGATACACAAGCAGCCATGTAGCCCTGGGGTAGGGAACCTTTCCCCTACTGGGGGCCGAACAGGATAACTTCTCATTAACATTTGATGGGCGGGAGTTTGGTGCAGTGGTAACACCTGTGTCTCAGAATACGTAATCTCCTAGGTTCGATTCCTGACTTGGGCACCTTTATGTGTGGAGTTTGTATGTTCTCCCCCCCCTGTTCTGCATGGGTTTCTTCCACATTCTCCATTTTCCTCCAGTAGCAAAAAAAAACATGTAATTGGTATTGGCCGAAACATCCCATTACTAAAATAAAATCCTGCAACTTACTTGCGATTTTGTTCCCTATTGCGAAAACCTGGTGGAGCCATCGTGAAAATGTTTTTCCTGGGTGAACAAGCGTAACAATATTAAAACAAACACCTTAGTGTTATCGAATAATTGTGCGATAAATTACATGTGCCTCGTATGAAGATGCACCTCCAGCGACAGAAGTGACTGAGCACGCACTAATTGCATACTCGTGTTTCCTCTAGTACCCAGTTAGTGCAACTAAGATGCCTGCAGTGATGGATAATTATTGTTTGCGGGCAGTTTAGAAGTAATAGGCCTCATGTGGCCATGGACTGTATGTTCCCCACCCCTGATATAGACAGATGTAAGCCGGTTGGTGCTGTGATTAAAGCAACAAATGTTGTCGATTGCATCTCATTGCTTTCTGTCTTCTGTTGTGAATGTCAAAGTTGCTTCCCCTATCCTTCCATGCAATTCCCAGCATGGTGTATATAGTACCAAGGGAGTTGTAAAATGTGGCATCTTGCCTCAGCTACTTTTGTCGATCCAGCTGGTGCTGAGGTTATAAAGCACTTGATTCTTGACAATTGGAGGGTTGCATGTTCAAATCCTTGTCAAGGATCATCTCAAACCATTATCACTCTGGGGTTGTGATAGATTTGGTACCACTCTCTGGGATGGAAGCAGCAGTGGTCACCCTATGTTGAGACTGGCCCAGACTATTGGAATGGGGAACTTTCACTCCTGTTTCAGGGCCATCGGTAGGTATGAGCACCTCCCATTGCATGTGTGTGCATGCACACCTTTACGATTTAGGTGACCCGAACTCTTATGCCAGGCTCTTGATAAGCAGGAGAGATGTAGAGGCATGTAACATGTGGGCGATAAAGGATGTAGGGCGTGGTTGTGGTTACATCATTTAATGTGCCATGTCAACCTTAATAGGTGCTCGCTAAGAACATGCCCCCATAGTCTACAAGGTGAAACAAAATATGTATCTTTGCATTAGTGGGTGTGCATCTGTATCTGTGTGTGCGTACATACATGTGAATGTCCTGGTAATACATGTGTATGCATGCATGTGCCAGTGGTACAAAACGTTCTGAGGCTAATATAGAGGAGATTATCAGAGGCTATTGATGTTGCAGCTACTTATAGTCCATGTTGCGTGTATGCAAATGGCACAGTATTCTAGACGTCTTTGTTCCTTATTCATGCTTCATCTATTATAGGTAGACCATGAAGGAGGCTGAAAATGTTAAATCATTGTGCTGTCATAGAATGTTTGCTGCTGAACCGAAAGGACGTTTGAAATCCATGTTCAAAGTGTTTGGGGAAAATGCACCATAATGTGCAACACTTAAAATGTGGGTTTCACAACTTTGTCCGAGCAGAAAGACTGTTGATGATGACTCCAGGTCAGGGCGGCCTGGGACTGCAATGATTGAGGCCAACATCAAGGCCGTGCAAGGACATAGCTTTGTAAAACTTCCCTGTATATGGGATTCCTGGAAAACACTCTATGCATGATATTTTTGGAATGAACAAGGCATGTGCACCTTGGGTGCCGGAGCATGTGGACACGTGGCAAGGAGTGTGACCACTTCTCATGATAATCTAGAAGGGCTGAAGGCAGACGGAGACACATTTGAGGCAATGTATTACTTACCGGTGATGATACCTTGATTTGTCATTCGGACCCTCAGTCCAAGAGAAATCCATGCAGTAGAAAAATCGAACTTCTCCAACGCAAAATGTTCAAGTTGGACCACTCTGCAGGCAAGATCATGTATGCCATATTTTCAGATGCTAAAGATGTGGTGCATATTGACTTCATGTCACACACAGAGACAATGACAGCTCAATACAATATCATGCAGACTTTCTCCATCGCCTGCGTAAGTAAAAGAGAAAATACATGGGAAGATGAGAACCGCACCCCTTGCCTGTGCGTGACATTGCCCCATATCAGAATCGGAATCAGAATATTTATTTATACTGGAGAAATCCGAAGAGCTATAAAGCTCTTTTTCACAGATGCCCAGTAGGCGCAGGTAAGAACGTCACAACAACAAACAATACCAAACATGGTAGTTGTGCAAAGTACAGGAAAGGTAAACAATCACCCAAAAAACATCTAATTAAAACTAAGACCATCCCCATCCTACGAGGCATAGCCCACTGAGGTGTTAACTTGCGTTTTAGAAAAGACCTGGACACAAATTAAAGCTCGGCAAAGTGGCTTATAATGTGGAAATTAAGAGCAGCAAAATAATCTAAATAATCTGAATGTAAAAGCTGCAAAGACTAAGAGTGTCAAGGAATACCAGTTGGACGAACTCCCACACGCTGCCTATTCCGCACACCTGGTTCCTGGTGACTTTTTTCCGAAGTGACTAAATATTTACGTTGGTCACGTTTTGTTGGTTTTGACGAGGTGAAATAAAATAAGGTCACATAAGACACTGACTGTGAAGTCTGTAGCCGCCAAGTGGTTATGTTTTTTGGCTGGTGAATGGGAAAGCTTGGTTCAAATCTCACTAGGATTTATTTAGTGATTTAAAAAAATCTATTTTGTTTTATCCCAAAGTGGAGGGGTGTTGTGCCCTGATTTGACAAAAAATTGCTAATAGAAGGCTGTGTATGGGAACCTGAATGGACAGGATGAAAAGTTATTTCTGCAGGGATTTGGAAAGCTTCATTATTGATATGAGGGTGAAGGTGTTAATAATTGTGTGGTTCTTTTTCGGGTTTGTATGTAGTTTTAATGTATGTTCGGCTCAGACACTTTGAACCACACCCTAGTTTTTACATGCACATATGTATGTGCTGTGCCTTTGTTTATTTACTTGCCAGCTTATATATCCCCACGTGTGTGCAAGTGTGCTGTGGCTCTGTTTACAAACTAGTGTGTTAATGCCCTGTGTTAACGAGGGTGTGGTTCAAAGTGTGCCGGTGTGTGTACCGTATTTTCCCGCATATAACCCGCGGGGTAGACCACTTTTTACATACAAAACAAGACCCTGCCGGGTATATGGAGGCACGGGCTATCCCAAAAATATTTTTAACGTGTGACATGTCATAACTCGTTTAATGTTTTCATGGTAGGACTATCCACTATGCAACACTTACCTTTGACTAAAGCACTGCTGAATAAACCACTCACACTAAAATTTAACATGTTATCACGTTTTAAATTATTCGAATTGTTTGTACAATGAAACGACCGTTTGAAGTGGGCGCACTTTGTTTACCGGAATACTTCCAGTGGCTGTAGGGGGATTGCACAATGGGAAGGGCCTTAATCGTCTACCAGATGCGGAATCATAATTTTGCCGAGTCCCTTCGGCCGCTTCCATTGGCTGAGCACGATACAGTCGCGACCATGAGCTTTGTTTCAAACTTCCAATGGCTTTGTTGCCAGGAGGCAGTGGCGTTACATTAGTGCCGCTATTGTCTGCGCAGTGCACAATCTACCAGTGCTAAATCTGTACAGGGGTAACTACCGGGTCCAGTAGCTGTAATATGATGAGGTCGAATGCTGGTGAGCCTAACCGTACGCTTACTTACAGTACTTATCTACCGGTTATGTGTTACTTATTTATCGGATATTTACTTTTGTTACTTGTTTACTGTTTTAAGTTCATTCGTTTCCGGTTAGTTTGTTTTCTTTGTTAACAATTGATAGTGGAATGTATTACAAATGTCAACTTTGTATTAATATCATGGAATTAAGCTGCGGTAACGACTTTAAATATATGCATGCGGGGTATATGGAGGTGCGGGCTATCTGAAATTGTTTTACACAAAACGCTATTTTTGTGGGGTATATGCGTCTGCGGGTTATATACGTATGCGGGCTATATGTGGGGAAATATGGTATATCCCTGCGTGTGTGGCTATGTGTGTGGCTATGTGTGTGCCTGTGTGTGCTTAGGTGCTGGTGTGCATATCCCCACGTGTGTGTGCTGTGCCCAACTGTGTGCAGTGGTGCAGGGGTTAGCACTCTGCGCTACTAACCCAGTGACCTTGAGTTCAATTCTCACTTCTGGTCAATACCAGTGACGGTTATCTGAACTGGTTCTGGGCCTCCCCTAGCTCGACTCAGCCTTGACTGAGTTCCTGGTGTGGTGTGTAAATATCAGCACTAGAGAGACAAAGGTGGCAAGGCGTGGTTCTGGCCACATTACCCCATCATGTGCCATTCTGGCCTTCATAGGTGCTCACGAACAGCACTTGCCCCAACAGTCTGTTAAGGCTATACGGGCGATCTTGTTGTCTTTACAGTGAGCCCCACTCACGGTTCTACGCGGCACAAATCGTGTTGGCGTTTGAGTACCTGCACTCGTTGGACCTCATCTACCGGGACCTCAAGCCTGAGAACCTCCTTATTGACCAGCAAGGATACATCCAGGTGCGCACAGGCTCACACGAAGTATACAGGAGTATACAGGAGCATCAAGGCACTTAACACATATTTTACTCAGTCACTCAGGGTACACAGAGGTACACAGAGGTACACACAGCTACATATAGAAAAAGGCACATGCAGGTATATATGGGAGTAGGTTGGGGAGTATATCACCAGTGGTCTGCATGGTAAACCTATACGAATGGTAAACCCGTTGCCTTGGGCCTACTCTTGTGCAATGACAGGAAAACACTATCCTTCCACGTGTAACTTAATTGGCGTGCAGCAGGGGTCTTGCTAACATTTTTTTATGTTTCATAATTTTCAACTCTTTTATTTCCATGTGTGAACAGGTGACAGACTTTGGGTTTGCTAAGCGCGTGAAGGGGCGAACCTGGACTCTGTGTGGAACACCAGAGTATCTGGCTCCCGAGATCATCCTCAGCAAGGTACACTGGCTCACCCTCAACTGCTGCACACACTCCCGCCTTGACCACAAATGTACCTGCTGCTGTGTGAGAGGACTGGTGGTACAATGGTTTGATCGCTGTACTGTGAACTTGACAACCTAAGCTTGATTCTTGGCCATGGCTAACATCAAGTTATTTTTTTAACCGGTCCTGGACTGTCCCAAGTCCAACTCAGTGTTATATGAGTCTCCGGTGTCGTGATAACAAATCAGCACTGGGGAGACGAAGGCGGCCGGGCGTGGAATTTGCCACACCATCCCCTCATGCCCTGGCTCACCTTAATAGGGTGTTCACTAACAGCACTTACTCCAATAGTCTATTGAAGGCTGTACGGGAGATCTTGTCTTTTTGTGTGCTTACGTAGAGAGCAGCAGCACATGCATAATAACATCGGTGTCAAGTGGTATCTGAACTGTTCTGGGCCTCATCTAACTCGAGTTGGTCTTAAATTAATACCTGGCGTGGTGTGTAAACATCAGCGCTGGGGAGATTAAGGCATCCCAGCATGATACTGGCCATACCACCCCATTGTGTGCTTGTGTCACCCTTAATAGGTGAACAGTCGTTAAGGCTAAAGGGATCTTTGTGGCTGTGTGTGTGCTTGCATGTGTACAGTCAACGCTTGGTAAAACCAAAACACGTAACACAAAATGTACTAAAATTAGGATATAAAAAAAGTATGTATTGTTTACCGGTGTAGATTGGGGCAAGAATGTGTCCTGTTTTTTGAGAATCGGCGCCGCCGCCTACTTGACCCTTGTTCAATATTTCCTTCTTCAAGTGATGGGGTAACGGCTGACATTGAGTCGCTGATCCTCGCCAAGTGAGGAGCAGCCAAACGTTAAACCAGCTTGTGGTTAAAAAGGTGCCAGTGAGCACAGTTAATCCGTAGCCTAGATAATCGAGAGCAGGCTGTGTATAGTTGATGAACCACCGTTGCGCGGTGCTGTTTTAATTGTGTGGACATGCGTGCCACTTAGGGCTACAACAAAGCGGTTGACTGGTGGGCGCTGGGCGTGCTCATCTACGAGATGGCAGCTGGGTACCCGCCATTCTTCGCCGACCAACCCATCCAGATCTACGAGAAGATCGTCTCTGGGAAGGTACGCGTGTCCCAGCACTGCAACTTACCTCATTGCCCACTCGTAAATTGTCCTCTCTCTGCTATTGTCAGAAGTTACTACTATAGAGTTAGTTACTACTATAGTCAGTTGATACTACTTTGGAGTCAATAGATATGACTTTTGATTCAGTAGATACTACTATAGTCATTAGATACTACTGTAGAGTCAGTATTCACTACGATAGAGTCGATAGATACTACTATTGAGTCAGTCGATACTATTGTAGAGCCAGATACTATTGTAAAGTTAGATACTACTATAGATTCACTAGACACTCCTCACTCTATTGTGTGTAGGGTGTGTAGGTATTTATGCCTATGCGGGGGTAAAAATATATTTTGAGGGGGGGGTCGACAATTTTCGAAACATTAGACCAACTATTTACCCCCCACATTGTATAACTTTTTGGACTTCTGCAAGCCTCTTATCATTTTGTTGATGGACAAATGGGCAGACAAACAGAACGCCGGGCTTTCACAACAGCTTGGTGTTTGTTTATGTTTGTTATGTTTTTAAGAGAAGTTTTGAAATATATTTTTCTCCCGGGCAACGCCGGGTACTTCCTGCTAGTTATTTAATGTAATGTGTGTGGTGAGTACCACATTTGTGTACCCATTTAATGAATACACAATGTTTGCAATAATATTGACTTCATGTACATGACTTTGTGTTGTTTATGCAATCAAGACAATTGCAGTTGGAACACTTGTTGAAATATGTGAATAAATATGTTTAACCATGTGCACCTTGTATTGAAAATGGTAATCACCTTGTAATAACAGGAAAATGTAGTGATTGACACACAAGTTTAGAAGACATAGGTTGTTTCAGTTGAATGTGTTTACGGGGATAATCATCGTAACTAAACAAGGTGTAAGTACGAGTCAATGTACCTGTTATATACATTTCTGAAATGCGCTTGACGTTTGCGTACTTGACAGAATAGTGGCATAATGGCTTTTGCGCCACATGAAACCAACCACCTGAGTTAAATTCCAAGTCAAGGTTAACATGCGGTATATGAAGTGACATCTGCATCAGTCTTCACCAATCCACAGTGACCAGTGTGATGAAGTGTGGTCAAACATCCCACTTGACACCTTCCATCAGTGGATTGGCACAGAGCTTTTATGGACAATACAAGCAAGTCAATGAAGCTAATAGGCTGCCTGTTGCATCCCACTTGCATGTGCCCTCACTGCCATTGTCGCTGCAGGTGCGGTTCCCTTCTCACTTCAGCTCGGACCTCAAGGACCTGCTGAGGAACCTGCTCCAAGTGGACCTCACCAAGCGATTCGGAAACCTCAAGAACGGCGTCAACGACATCAAGAACCACAAGTGGTTCTCCACCACCGACTGGATCGCAATTTACCAGCGCAAGGTGCCTCCCCCCATCTCTAAGGCAACACCACCACTGACGTAAACCTGAACTCAACTGTGAAACGAAGGGGACAACCTCAAACCAGGCGGCAGTGATGACGAGCCCGTAAGAGTGGTCTTTGAGGGGTGTGTGAGCTCTGTAACATCAGATTACTCCAGTATAAATACATTCTCTGATTCTGATAAGACAGCAGACCTAGGATTGGTTGGGTGTCCACTGCAAATAAAATTTAATACAAGAAAGCAAAACGATGTATGATAGTTCTAGATTTGAAGCTTTCGTGACTGCAAGGATTCATATTCTTAGGTTTTTTCGGTAAAGTCATGTAGGTAAAAAATTAAAATTAATAAAAGTAAAATAAAAATTAAATAAAAATCACGACGTTTCGGAGGCACCTGAAGACGGAAGCTTGTGTTGCCTCCGAAACGTCGTGATTTTTATTTTTGTTTTTTTTTACTTTTATTAATTGTAATTTTTTACCTATGCGACTTTACCGAAAAAAGCTAAGAAGATGTATGATAGCATCGTTGGAGTGGTGACCTCGTGACCTTTGTTATCATTCCTGTGCCCACTCGGCTCACACCTCCAGGTCGAGGCTCCCTTCATTCCCAAGTGCAAGGGCCCAGGCGACGCCAGCAATTTCGACGACTACGAGGAGGAGGAAATCCGCATCTCGTCCACTGAGAAGTGCGCCAAGGAGTTTGCCGACTTCTGAACACCGCCTGCGCCTCGCCTCCTCCCTCCTCGCTCTCCCGGTCCAGCGTCGCCCACTGCGTGTCCACCCTGTCCGTCCGTCCGACCGTCCGCGTGTTGAAAAGGCAGACGGGGTCGCCCCCTCCTCCCACCCTCACACCAAGACACATGTACATGTCAACCCATAACCACCACAACTGCCACTCACGTACACACGACGTTTCCACCCTCACTCCCACCACTCTTGAGACACGTGTACACTTGGCCGAGCCCACCTCGACACATGTACACACGAGATCCCTCTTGCTGCAGCGACAAGCGACACGTGTACACACAACCTTCCAACTAAGAAGCATGTGTACACACGATCCCACCCACAACAACTACGTGCATGCTCACAACCCCAGCCATCAACACACGTACATACAGCACGTGCCCTGCCATCAACACACATGATCCGTCTATCCCTGCCCCCCTACCATTCCCCATTCTTGGCATGTGCACGCACAACCTCCCACGAACAGCACTTACACATACGGTCCCCTCCTTACCAACACACGTGTACACACGACCCCTTGAATCTTCCCTCAGCCTTGCTCCACCGCCCTTCCTGGGTGGCATATTTTGGGTGTTGCGTGCACCTCCACGTCACCCGAGGGTTGACCCTAACCCATGGACCTCCTCCTCCTCTCCCCATGGATATGCTGCTGCCTGCTCGCCGCATCAACAGTGCCCCGCTTCCTAACTGCTGTCACACTGTATATACCTGGTCCCGAGCGCTTCTCACGGCTCTGCTGCTCTCTCCCGCCCCCTTCTTCACATGCTGCGTAGAAACGGGGGTCCCCTCCCACTGCCTGCCCTCGGCCCTTTCCCTCCCTGCCCCCCCCTCCCACCAGCCCCTGCCACCTTCGTTTACCTCCATCTGTCAGTGATTCGGTCGTGGGCGTTGTCTGTTACAATAAAAAAAGCCGGTAATGTTATTTTTACTTTTACTTAACGAGTGCCAATATTTTAATCGGGACTCATCCCGCACCTTCTCTTGGTTAGGGTGGAAGCGCGGTATGGACAGTTAATTATGACTAAAGGCAAAGGATTGATAATGAGAGTGAAGTTTTTTGTTGTCCCTGGAGTGTCTGATTACTGTGATTGAATGGTCAGTTAGGGGAGCCGGAGTGTGTTTGCCAGCCCAAGCAAGAGCAGCGATAGCAGTGGTACACAGCGCCATTGACATGTGGCTACTCGAAAGGTTGCGCATCAATTTACTCTATCATAGCGACTGCCTCGTGCGAGTGCTCCGGTAAAAGTGCATTTAGAAATAGCAGCCATACCCCAAGAGCGGAGGTGGGGGGCCCTTTGTGCCACCCTTTTAACTCTGAGCTCAAACCCTGCCTCTGCAAAGCGTTGCCAGCACTTGGTCGTTTTGTCAGTGAAATTTGATTCGTATTAAAGAAAATGACAAGGCCAGGCTTCAGGTGACTGAATATTAAAACTTGTTTGGCACCAGTGCAGCAACATTGCAAGGGAACTAACGTGTACTAGCCATTGGGGAACCATGTGTCAGTCTGTTGGGCTGATGAAATGAGAATGTTGCCCACGCCATGGTAAAGACAATGCAGCCATATGTTTATCACTATAAAGGGTTGGGAGGTGGTTGGGTGGCCACAGAGTATGTTTTAAAATATTATTTGGCCATCAAGCAGAAATGTGTGAAGATGAAAGATTTAGCTATCACTGCTAAATTGATCCCTGCAGGTTTGTTAACTGGGGAAATGTAAACTTTATGGTTTGGGTCTAACAATAAGCAAGAAGGTTCCCAGTATCTCACCGAGTCTGACGACACAAGGGGTTGTGTGTTCCGGCACGTGACCAAGGCTTAGGTGAGCGATCTAACTCAACACATCACCTATTAGACTTAAACACGAAGCCTCCTCCAAAGCCATGTCCATAGGAAACACCTCTCCATGCCCAAATGAACAATGTGGTGACACTCGTGTCTCTAGATGGCCCTTAAATTTCACATTCCTATTTTGGGGGTCAGTCACTCTTTGAGGTTTGGTTGTCTTCAGTTGGCGGTCGACATTCGAAGTGGGCTGCGACCCTCAAAGAAATGGCGCTGCCCCGTGGGCGCCCCCACCGTGATCCGTGGATCAACATCACTCGACGCCGGTGTACGGCAGCTAGAGCAGATGATGCGAGCGCTGTCGCAAGAGGTCACACGTTTGGTGCAACAGTTCTTCGTTGACTATGCGTGATGAATGAATGTTGATACTCATTTTATCGAAGCCAGAGGAGGATGGTGATGGGTTGAGTTGATCCACCACCTCGATATGAACTGGTGATTTTCTAATTGTTGATCACTTTGCAGATGGTGTGCCACCCAGCCAGATCCTACGCTATGGCTCACCTTTTAAGTTATAATGAACTCGGACCATTGCAGGTAACATCCTGTAGACCTTTAGATCCATCCGTAGCTCTCACACCTAAACCCTAACCTCAACCTATCATTCTAAAGCATGCCAGGGTCCACAGACTTGCTGCTGCTGATTTTACATAGCTGAGTGAGAGAAGTCGTATGCTGTGGGAAGTGAGCCCTCTACAACTCGACCGTTGAACCCCATTTGTCTGTTTTGTTTACGAGGGGCTGTGGAAGGTGTTGAGAACCAGATATATATATATATGAGGAGCATGCACAGAACCACACTGTTACATTTGTCCATGTAGCTGCCCCTGTTCATGTATTTACCCTGTAATTGGTCTCTACATATCCATGTTCAGACCCGTTGTCAATCCACTGCTGGGTGAGTACCTCCCCACGCCTTGTGGGTCATGGGGGGTTATTTGGCTAAACCTCACCACGCTGGTTAGTCGTGTAGGTTGGAAGTCGTGGAGAATAACCTTGGCAGGACAGTACAATAATGGATTTTGTTGAACTGCCGTCTACTGCCCACCACGCACTCTTTAGCCTCTAACGCCTGTCCTGCATGGTGGCTGCCCATCCAAACACTATCCAGTTTCAACCCCGCTTTAGCTTCAGTGATCTGGCACCATGAGGCGCATTCTGGGTGATTTGGTTGTAGGCCTTTTATTGTGTTGCCCTGTAATCGTTCGAAAGTTTATTAATTATGTAGCTTTAAGCTAAACATAATTCTTGGTCGCAACTTTTCTACGTTGGTAATGCGTCCTCAGAACATATTGACAGTCCCCTCGCACATATATACAGTCCTGTATATATACGGTGTATAATGTGTTGCTGTTCAAGCGACTGTACATGGTGTAATAAAAACAAAATTGGTCAAAGTCTTCGGACGATGTTTCTGCTCCACACTAGACGATTTGACACTTCTCAATTGCAAGAGTTTTTTCCAATACCTGAAACTTTCATCGCGTTTTTGCTGGCCACCAGTCACAACAGATATCACCTTCCTTCACTTAACCAGGTCACGGCCCGTTGAGGTCCAGCACCTATGACAAGGGAGGTGCATTTGTAATCATCAGAATCAGAATGTTTATTATCCTGGAGGAATCAGATGAGCTAAAAAGCTCTTGTTTTACAGATGTCTAGTCGGCAGGTCGGTACGTTACAAAAGCAAACAACACAAAAACACGATAGTGAAACGTATAGGAAAGGTAAACAAATCACTTTTTAAAATATACAAATACAACTATGTTATCATACCAGGTGAAGACCACCGAGCTATTAGCTTCTTTTTCAGAAGCTTCAAATGAGAGCTCAACCAAAGTGGCTTATCATGTGAAAATGTACTGGAGCCAAATACTCTCAATGCATGTTTTGTCAATCCACTGCTGGATGAGGGCATGCCCACACCGTGCCGGCAGTTGAGGGTTATTTGACCATACTTCACCACACTGCTAATGCGTTGGTGGTTGTGGGTGGGTATTACAAAACAATGGATTTTAGTGCACTGCCCTTTGCTGCTCTCTGCCTACTGCACTTGTTTTTGATGGTGGTTGCCCACACAGGCATCATACAGGCTCGAATCCGCTTAGCGTCTGGGGTCTGATGGGTGCATTCCTGGTGATTAGGCCCTGGGCACACTCGTGTGATATTAGTTCATTGGGACAACGTGTTTTTCCAGATGGGTGGATTGTAAAATGTGTGGTATTTTTCGCATCATTGTAAGCTTCTGTTTTAGTTGTAACAGTTCTACGCAGCTGATGACTCGTGGGACGGCCTGCATACTTTGACCAATGTCCACCCTCTGGGTAGCAGCGTTTACCAGAAATCATCAGGTTGGACGATAAACGGGGTGGTTACTTGAAGGAATAAAAAAACCGACCTGTCAGAAAATGTTGTGGTGGGGTGGTCTGCATGGCCACCACTCACCCAGTTTTGAGGCTTCATTTCCCACTGTCATACGGGATTTACCAACGCACGCTGCCCTGCAGTCGTGGACGTTAAAGACTGACCACTCACAGGAACATGCCGCTTTCTTGATGTCCAGGCTTGTCCATAAATCTTAAATGTTGAAAATTATCGACAACTTAATCATAAAAAATACAACTGGGTGGTTGGTATGGTTACGGCACTCAACTCGCATATGGTTGCTTACAATTTCCATTCTTTGCAACCAACTCGACCTAAACTCCCTGAGGGTTAATAAAATGAGTAACCACTTCGTGGGGAGTCCGCAGTAGTTCTAGGTTTTAGAATGCAAAATATTCACCATTGGATAGCTTGTGCTACCCAGCCATCATTGCTCACTTGTCCCTTGTCAGAGACTTTGATTATTTGACGATACTTTACGCTGGTTAGTGTTGGTAATCGTGGTGAGAAGCATGGACAATGGAGCATAGTACTGTACAACAATGGAATGTGCTGCACTGCCACCTGCTGATAAAGTCAGTAACCTGCGACATGTTTCATACCTCGTGGTGTCACTCAGCCGAGCACCATCCAGGAACAACCCCAGCTTCGCTTTCAAGATCCAATGAAATCGGCTGCATTCTGGATGATTTGGTCACAGGCGGTAGTGATACAGCAGCAGCACCGATATCTACCGTAGATCCCTAATAAGGGCACAACCTATCCAGTTGCCATGCACTTTTCTGCCGACTTGTAAACACGACAGAGTTCAATGAGGATTCTCATACCGGCAGTAGGTTTAGACTGCTCCACATAAACACTTCGCTGGCCTTGCCAATCTTAGTCGTGGTTTCCCCAGAGTGCACTGACCCGTTCTCCTGACTGCACCGAGTTCCCAGGTTGTTGGGGTTCTCCTTGCCCCCAGGTGCTATGAGACACGAAAGTGGCGCTGCTTTCCGAGCCGTTCAAATCATTTCCACCCAAGAGGTTCATGGGAGTGGGGTCATGCAATCCATAGACATCTGTCGGATGAATTAAACTTCATTCTCGTCAATGATTCGTGATATCTGCACCTATTCCGGGTCCTGCCCTTGGTTGAACTTAAACGAGTGGCTGGTCACTTGTGTAAACATCAGCAATGCAGAGGCAAAGGCTCGTGATGCTGGTCACACCACCCCCTCGTGTGCCATGCTGGTCCTAACAGGTGATCGCTAACAGTACTTGACCCTGCAATCTGTAAGGCGAAAGAGGCATGTTTGTATGAATGTAAGTGGAAGTATTGAGGTTGTCCTATTACACAGTCAGCGCTTGGCGTTCAGTTAGTATCCTTCCTGTGTTTGAGTTGCAGTCAGCTCGGTGGGTGGGACCGGTATTGTTGCATCACTGTCAGTTCAGCCAGTGTCGGGATTTCTTAAGCTGTGAGCCACGTCTCACCAGTAGCCTCTCGTCCTCCTTTTATCCCCAGAATGTATGGAAGAAGTACAGCCCTGTCGTCAGTCCACTGCCGAATGAGCCCCCTCCCCAAGCCGTGCAGCTTGTGGGGGTTATTAGACCATGTTTGTGTTGAACTTCTTTTGCACCGTACGTAGCCAGCAGTGTTAATCGGAGGTGCGGGGGAAGGACAACAAACTAAACACAAAAATCAGTTCCAAAGAAATTAGTTTTAAATCTAGATTTTAAAATGCATAGCGCCAGTGGAGACGAAGCTTCACCATGCTGGTCAGTGCTGACAACGTATGCCCGTCGCAACCTACAACACCTGTATTATGCATAGTGGTCACCCTTCCATGCATGAGAATACTGGCCCGCTTGCACTCACTTTGGTGTTGAGTTCTGTATGTTTGTTGTTACTACCAAAGCACTGTATACTGGAAGCAAGATTCTCGAGGAATCAGGGATATGCTGCGTTTGCAGACAGGTGGCCAATTCACAGCTCGGTTATACTCGTGACATGACTGAAGTCTCCACGAGTCCAGCGACCAAGGGGGACCTAAGAGCGGATGGTGACCTCCTGTTCGGGCAAAGCTTGCAGGTCACGTGCCGACTGTGCAGCAGTTGAGGAACCTGACAGGGTACAAAGCATTGGCGATGAGATGTGGTGGCATCGATGGCGTTGACCACGACGATATCTTGAATTGACATGAAAGATCCAAGAGATTGTTAATCAGCTGACTGTTTTATCTGTTGTGGCTGCATTCTTGCGTGACACTGGCGGGTTTTTGTTTCGGCGTGCAACAGGGGAAACGCTTTGGTGGGATGCAGTTGCAGCCCATTGTTGCGATGTCTTCAGGGGACCTAGACATACTTTTGAGTTAACAAAAACATGCATTTGCAGTAAAGATAGTGTTTATCCTGTTAGTTTGACTTACAGAATTAAAGAGTAGGCCAAATACCATCTGGGGTCTAGAGGGCTCTCAAGAGCTGCCTCTTGTGGGAGGTCCCTTCCACCAGCAGTGGTGTGGGCAAGCAATTGCAGGGCTGCACCTTTACCTTGACTTACATGTTGCATTTTTGTTGCATTGAAACCACATTTTTTTTCTTCTTCTAAGATTCCAAACTTTTAGAGTTAATGTTGCACTTGTAGCCACGATACTTAAATTGGCAAAATTGCAGAATGTGAAGTCACCAACGCTACCTATAATCGAGCTCGATCAATTCTAGCCACTGCCATTCACTCACTCACTGTCTTACGAGGCAGAGAGATCTTAGCAGAGTTAACGGCTCATGAAGTGGTGCTTGAATCAGTGGTGTGCGTGACTGCAGGCCGGAGTGAATTCTAAGAGACCGTAATTGTTGAGCTCGTGACTGAGGTGTGTGAGAGCATCATGCTTGTATGTACAAGGGGAGGGAGGGGAACTCCGTGCCATCAGGCGTTGCCGTGTCTCCACGTAGATCCTGGGCACAATTGACACACTTCTGCCAATGTGGCACGTGACAGCCTGGTTGTCCTTTCTACACCACGCGGGTCGTTGTCCATACTTTACAGAGTTGGGAAAACAAAGACATCGGTGCACTGCCCCCTCCTGGCTACTGCGGAGACTCACAATCTGTAACACTTGCATGGAAGTCGCCCATCCAGGCACGATGGAGGCTGCTCAACCCACCTGCTTCGCCTCCGAGATCTGACGAGCTCGGGCGCCTTGCGGCTAATTTGGTTGCGGGCCGTCGCAGCTGATTCCATTTTAGATACGACCACGGCTCTCCTGAGCGGAAGGCACGTCCACTCCAGCAATATCAGCCATGCGCAATACCACACACGGGCCAACGACGTGGCAACCGATTGTGTAACGCGCCGAGGAGGCTGCACTCCGTGTCAGAGCGCGTATTTCGTCTGCGCTGGACACGCGCACAAGACACTTGATCATCGCCATCAGCAGGCGCTGCCTCGCAGCTGCGCTCCGCGCCGTGAATGTTAATGACGCGGACGGTGACGCGCGGTCGTGTTGGGAGAGCGACTTCCAAAGTAATCGCTCTCTGATTGTTCGAGGTTTCAGAAGCAATGCAAAGCACGGCCATCCCACATTTGGTATTTTTTTCGCAACCTCGTCTTGATTACGTTCACGATTGCTTAATCCTACTGTTCACCTATCACAGATTTGACAGCTCTCCTACGACAAGGCCCTGTCGCCTGATCTGTATTCACTGGCTGCTGCAGTCCTCGCTTTAGCCCTAGCGACCCCCCCCCACACCCTTTGTCTTTCATCGTTTTCTGATTATTAATAGCAAAAGTGATTTTGAAAAGTAATCAACCAGTACACGCTGAGTTATGACAATCTGATTACACTTCGAAGACTGAGTACTCGTCTGGGTTTACCAGGACCCGATTGTTGTAATCCAATCACAGACGTCTTACTCCTCCACCACCTCAGTGTGGATGTGTTCGTCCCGTGCTGCTCACTCACGCGTGCACCACTGCCTGTGTAGATGTCACCCCTCACGCCGACAACTCCTGTTAACTTCGCGTCTCATTCTC